TGTTGTTGTTGTTACTGTTGCTGTTGTTGTTGTTGTTGTTGTTGTTGTCGTTGTTGTTGTCGTTGGTGTTGTTGATGTTGTTGTTGTTGTTACTGTTGCTGTTGTTTTTGCTGTTGTTGTTGTTGTTGTTGTTGTTGTTGTTGTTGTTGTTGTTGTTGTTGTAGGGCTGGTGGTGGTAGCGGTGGTTGGGATGGTTATTTCATTTGGCGTTGCTCCCCTCACTCATCCCTTTCTTTAACTGTTTTTTTTTTTTTACTTCTGTATCACAGTGAAACCAAAGACTTCGGTTGTTGTTGTTTTGCTAGTTTGTTTTTTTAGTTTTCATTTTGCTGTTCATGTAATTGTTTTACACCCACATCGACACAATTTAGATCATTTAGGAGGCCATCTTGGACCCTGCCTGTCAGGTCAGGGCCAGTCCGGGCTGAGAAGGGTACAACGTCCCAATTGGAAGTTCACCCCACACGATTATCGAAACTAGGTCTCCTGCAGGCGAAGGCGAAGCGCTTAACTGGTACACCACGGACACTGGTATCAAGCAGATAATGGTAGGTTTATAGTCGTATACAATATCTGTTCCGTATGGAGTATGGAGGTTTCCACAAAAAACTCTGTTTCACAAAACTATATCATTATTAAGGTTGTTCTTTGTTATTATTATAATCATTATTAATATATACTATTAAACGAATTCGTAGTATAGATGGTGATGCCATTTTTGCTGTTGGGTACGAGAATACTGGTAATGATTTGGGGGGGGGGGGTCTTTACTACAGTACATATTAAAAAGTATAGGCAAATCCCAGGTTTGAAATCACATATACAAGATGCATAAATATACAATTTAAGTAAAATGTTGACTATCAGAAGCGTAAAACGGTTCGATGATAGCTGATGACTTTATACTTTATGACTTAGTTCATTGGTTTATAGTCCTGCTCCTGGGGATGAAATTCAGTATAAGAACTTACAAGGCACTTGGACAATCTTATCATAACAATATCCAGAGTACAATTAATGATTTTATTAAAGAAGGTCGAACAATGACCAGAAACAAAGACTTGAGATTTAAATAGAAGTTAAAGGAAGCCTACTTTTATGTAGATCTATAACGCATTCATAAAATTGCCTTGACGTAGATGCGCGAGAGACACACTGCATGAGGTTACAGAGGTTATTTCTATGGCTTTTTCACATTTCACGCAGGATTCATATTTCTTTTGTGGGGGGTTTTTGTGGGTTTTTTGGTTTTTTTGTTTTAGTAGAGGTTTTACGGCGCTCGCAACTGCATAAGGTCATATGAACGCCAGAAGATTAGAGGCGTTACAAGAGAGTAACAAACATAAATAAGAAGAGGTGGAGATAAAGACGATACGTATTTGATAGGAAGGAAGAAGCTAACCACACCAGAGCACCCGCCACCCACCCACATTTCTTTTGTGCGAACGCTATTCTGAACAAGACACACGACATACAGAAGCTGACCCTCCCTCCCTCGTGGCAAAAGACTTAAGGTCCTTGCAATGTGATAAAATAAAGCGGGCTTGTCTCCATAGCAAAAGATAGCAAGGTAGTAAAACAAAAATCATCGAAAAGAAAACTATCACCTAAAAATAAAGAGAAGGACATAGATAACAATTTAAGATCACAAAAGTCAGTGTTGTGCTTAACTCTTGCAATAAGGATGTCAAA